TTTTTTTTTCTTTTTTTTTTGCATGTGACAGCTCCTCACCTGTCCACTCGGACACGACCCACCGATCGCCAATCAGCTGGAGAGCTATAATTGACCGCTTGACGCGCGCAGTGCTTGAGCAGCTGGAGGTTTGAGGAGGGGTTCCTGGCCGAGCTCGGCATCCACGTTGCACTGCCGTAAATACGAAGTGATATCTCAGCACCTGTGCAAGTGTGCACCATCTGGCTGTAGGCTGGGCCTTGGAAACAATGGCCTACCTTGCCCATATTTGAGCCTAGCTGGAGCAACGACCCGGGAGGAGAGAAAGGAGAGCGGGCGCAGCAGATATTCATTTCCCTCTGCCACCTAGAACAAATGCCGGCGTCCAGATTCGTCGCGCAGCTATTCTGCGTGACGTCATGATATCTCGGATATTGGCCCTGGTGCGAACAAGCTTCACCTAGCAGCAAGTCGTTGATATCATGGGCGCGAGCGGCTCGGGCGGTGCTGCCTCGGTGTGCTCGCCGAAGACCGAGGATGGAATTGGCGGGGCGGGGGAGCCATGGAGGCGTCGGCGTCGGCTTAATGCTTGTGCCAAAAACACGGAGTTGGGGAGCACAGCATGCGGCTGTTGCACCACGTGCAGGGGAAGGGAGGGGAAACCGTTGATGACAACAGTGTGGCTGACTCCGACTGCAGTCGTTATCGCGCGCCCTTCGTTGGGTCCTTCGGGAAAGGTGTCCCAAATGGGTTGACACCTCCATGCTGTTTCTCGGGACGTGGACACGATCCATTGGGAATCGTTTGGACAGGACGTGGGCATCGCCGCGGCATGCAATGACTGGAGCGGAACGTCAAATTCCACACTTTCGTCGTCACAGCCCGTGCGCCATCTTGCGCCGCCGGGCCATTATCACATGCCAAAAGCCAAGGTGGGCTGGTGCTGGACTAGACAGGGGCACTCAAATTCTTATCGGCGCGGCTTCTCAGTGGCGTGGGCAGGGGTCGGTTGGTACCAGGTGTACCTTGCCACAGAGCACACCACCAGCTCACGGCCCTGTCAGAGCACCCCACTACCGCGACGATGGATCGAAATCGACGGCAGCTTCGGGGTTAATCCTTTATGACTTTATTGTTATCCATGTTCCCAGCCCTCACTGGAGCAGCTCTGCGCGTGCCATCAAACGGCCGGGTTGCCCAAGCGGTTTCCCGCCCAGGATGTCGGGAATTCGAGCGTTCCTGCCAATTTCCTCTGCAGCGAGGAGGGGAGGAACGGTTCCTATCATGCCTAGCCGCATGGCATTCCACCGAACGGGGTCCTGCCAAGGTGCAGCGTTCCGAGTGGTGGGGGCGGTCTCATCCATGTCCCGCTGCCTGGGAGCCCATTTGCCAGGATCTTTGAGATGCGGTGATGTTATTATGGGATGGTAACACTTTTTTTTTCTTTCCGCGGCCCCTTGGAAAAAGACCCGCGGTTTCTGGGTTTCTGTTGCTCGTGAAGGTATCCGTTCATCAGGCAGCTGCCGAAGTACGTACTGTACCATGTAGGGTGCACTGTACGCATGGAGGCGAGAGAAGGACGGAACACGGCTGAAGAGCCCCTCGCCTGCCGGCCACATGTGCGGAGGCGGCTCTCAAGGGGAGGCGCATTCCGTCTGAGAAGACGGCAGAAGCATCCAGGCAAGACACGAATTGATTCTGACCCTGGCGAGCGAGGTCAGGCAGGTACATCCGTGGGGGGTGCGCCTGCTCCAACCACAGAACAGCCCATGTCGTACCCTCCCGGCAAAAGATGGAGACAAGCACATGCTAAAAGATCGGACCTGTCTTCGTCCCCGTCCCTGCCCAAATAAGGAAAAAAAAAAGAAAACCATGCCTTGGTGAATGAGTGATCCGTCTCGAGAAGACGTGTGGGTGGCGCTGCTCAAATAAATCTCGGCTCTTCCTTTTTAGCCTTCTCCCGCCGTCCTCGTCTTCCCTTTCCCAACATCTCCGACGTCTACCATCTTCACCTGCCGCCTGACACTTCACACCTTGGACCGACCTCCTGCCCAGAAAAGCACAAACTCACCGTCTCTCAACAGCCCGGCTTTTGTTCTGGCTGCCGCAATTCGACACACGTCTCCAAACATACATCGTTTTCCAACTCTCCCAAACCCCGAGCTCCCAGACCAACCATCTCTCACGCAGCAGCCTTTTAACGACCCACGGTGTAAGTGGCCAACCACCCAATTCTCCCGCATCTCCCATTTCACTTCTTACACGCGCGCACTCGCCTTCGCTGGCTTGGACGGATTGATTTCCGGTTCAGCACATTTCCCAATTGCGCTGGCTCGTGCACACGGTCGTCATTCCGCTGCCCATATAAGCCCGGTGTTTGCACTCCTTGGCTCGTGTCGGACGCCTCCTATACACATCAGCTGAAGTTTACCGGCTCTAGTACCAAAGCTTACCCGACAGCTCCTCCAGCAAAAACAATAGCTTCGCGCCCGCACCAAAGCACGAGCTCACGGCACACATATCTGCTCCGGCTCTCCCGCCCCCTTTTTCTTGCTTTCGCACTCTTGCGACTGCTGCATCCGTTTCGCGTTCTTCTCCCAGACGAACCCATCGAGTCTTTTTTCCCGTCTCGAATCGAAGCAATGGCTATGGCTGCGCACCAGGTTAACGGCGAGGTCCCCCACTCGGCCTTCATCGATGTAAGCCATCCATGGAAGAAAATCCCGTTTATCCACCACCACCCCTGCCCCTAACACCCACCGTCTTGGGCGGCTGGGGGATGGTCACGTCCCGGGAACCCAAATCATGCTAACAGGTCGTCCCCCCACAGCACCTTTTCAAGTACCCCGTCGTCAACGACAGCGTCGAGGCGCTGAAGCAGAACCAGTACGGGCAGAAGGGTCTGGCGCTGGGAGACTCGGCCTACAAGACTTTTGCCAAGCCCGTGATCCCCTACCTCGCCAAGCCCTACCAGTATGTCAGCCCGTACGTCAAGAAGGCCGACGACATTGGCGACAAGACTCTCGCCAAGGTGGACGAGACCTTCCCTGCCGTGACCAAGCCGTCGGCCGAGCTCTACGCCGACGTCCAGAACCTCGTCACCCTGCCCTACCGCATGGGCCTGGAGGGCAAGGACCACGTTTTCACGACGTACAACAAGGAGTTTAAGAGCATCAACAGCGATGGCGGCAACGGCGCCCTGGTCTCATACGGAAAGGCTCTTTTCAGCACCGCTCTGATCGTCACGGCCGAGTCGCTGAGCTGGGCCAGGACCTTCCTGAACGCCAAGAAGGAAGAAGCCAAGTCGGCTGCCAACAACTAGACTTGCTCTGTTGGGATGAGTGATTCGCCAGGGACTCCGGTCCTTCTTCCCTTTCACACCCCCAAAAATACCCCTCCAGAGAGGCCAATATAGGGGTGGGTGTCTCTGGAGACCTCTACGATGACATTGCCACGCCACATGCCTGGGCATTGCTCACTCGAAAAACTGGTCACGGGCTGATGGCTCGACCTGGGGCCGGCCGACTTTCTTTGGTGCGTCGAGAGCGGTTCGGTGCGGTCGGCTGCCTGTAGCACTGCCTGTGGCTTTCGCTCTTCCCCGTCGTCTCAGCCACGAAAGTTCGGACATCCACACTCGGTTTCTCTTTTTTGTTTCTCTTGTAATTCGGTGCAGCCCATGGATGGTTGGACCTTTGGAGACGGACTCCCCGACGCACGATACCGACGGGAAGAGTGTTCTCTTATACCCTGTTATTCTCTTTCCTCAATCTTGTTGTCCTTACTTGGCTGTTTTTCTTTGTTGTGTCTTCTCTTGACTGACTGTCAGCGGGGTCTTTCTCTTTTGTCTCCAAAATCTTCTCGTTGCTTGAACAAACATCCCCCATCTCATTTCACCTGTTTTTTTTATTGCTATGATGGTGTGGGGGG